AAAGCCAGCCCCCCCCCCCCAAGCACAGGGCTCCTCCAGGGTCACAGTGGACATAGGACATATCCAAATTGCCAAGGGCACCTGCTGCTTCGGGGAGGCCAAGGGTTTTGGCCATGGGCAGCTCTTCTCTCATCTCGCCAGAGCCTCCCTGGAGTCAGGGCACCATCCTCATTCCATTACAAACACTGGCTACCATGCACAGCTCAGCTCTCTTAGATCTGAAGTTTTCAACGATAATACATTTTCATAAAAAAAAAAAACAACAATCAATCTGCTTTGGCCCAAGAGGCAAAAAGGAGATACATTTACGGCAAAGTCTCAAAAACCCCTCTGCTTTCCAGAGCTGCACTTTTCAGTCCCACCAGCCCAACCCCAGCCCCAAAGAGGTGGGACTCTCCATTCTCACACCAGTCAGTGACAACTCCAATCGGGTGGATGTCTATTCACTCGTTCTGTCCATCTATTCACCCATTTATTAGTCTACTCGTTCAAATGCCCACCTATTCATTCATCTACCCATCCCTTGGCCACCCATCCATCCGTCTGCCTGTCCATTTGTCCTCTCACCTATCCATCCATCCATCCATCCATCCATCCATCCATCCATCATCCATCCACCTAAACATCAGCTACTCATCCATCTGTCCACAGGTCCCAGTGGCTTTCTCTTGAGGATTGATGCTTTAGGTCCTGCCTCTGAGGACCTTGGTCTGATCTGATCTGCCAGGAACTCCAGCACTGAACCAGTCTGAGCACATCAAGGGTGGTGATCAAAAGCCCTTAGGAATTGGGTCAGCTGGGCATGGTGGCACACGCCTTTGATCCCAGCACTTGGGAAGCAGAGGCAGGCGGATCTTTGTGAGTTCCAGGCCAGCCTGGTCTACATAGTGAGTTCCAGGACAGTTGGGGCTACAGGGAGATCCTGTCTCAAAAAGACAAAAAAAAAAAGAGTTGGGTGAAGCTGGACGTGTTAGTGCATGCCTTTAATCCCAGCACTCGGGAGGCAGAGGCAGGTGGATCTCTGTGAGTTCCAGGCCAGCTGGGGCTACAAGGAGATCCCATCTCAAAAAGACAAATAATAAATAATAAATAAATAAATTCAGACCCTGAAGCTGCTTCTGTGGGTGTGTGGGGTGGGGAGAGTTATACTCTAACTGTTGCCAGGTTTCAGTTGGGAACTTGAGCCGGTTCTGTGGTGACTGGTGGTAAGAGAGCTTAATGCCACTGTGCTGTGCACTCGAAATATAGGTGAAGGGGCTGGAGAGATGGCTCAGAGGTTAAAAGCACTGGTTACTCTTGCAGAGAACCTAGGTTTGGTTCCCAGCATCCATATGGCGGCTAACAATGGTCTATAACTCCAATTCCAGGGGATCTGATGCCCTCTTTTGGCTTCTTCAGGCATTACACATATGCAGGGCTGCGTTTACATACATGCAGGCAAAACACTAATACATATAAAATAAAAAATGGATCAAAAAATTTTAAATCGATTGCAACAGCAAACTTTATGAATGAATAAATAAATCAACAGTGTCTAACATCAGTGAAGGATTTCAGAAGCCAGACCCCAGATGGCAAGGGGCAGTGACAGGTCCACACCTGGCCTAGTGCCAACAATAGAGTGTGATATGGGGCCACCGGGCATGAAACCTAGCCTCCCCACAAGCCCCAACCACAGGCAGAGCTAGGGGAGAACCCTAGGCAGTTCTAGCTGCCAAAGGCAGGAAATTGAAGATGGGGCTCCAGGCACTAGCCAAGGCTGTTGCCCTTCCCTGGGGGCCATTTTCCCTGTCCCAGACCTGGATTTACATCACCGAAGCAGCACAAGTCCGCCCGGGAGAGGCACAAGCCCCATGTTCGTCCCTTCTTCCTTTCCTTCCTTCCTTCCCTTCAGCACAGGGCTGCCCCCTCCTCACGACAGCAGTTAAAGGGATATTAACTGTATGTCTAGGATGTTAGGGTGCCTTGGAGATAGCCTTCTTGCCCCGCCCCCAGCAGCCTGCCAGATGTGATGTTTGCCCCCCCCCACTCCCCCGCAGCCTGCTTGCTGGGATGGACTGAGACTCATGACTGGGTCTGCCTGGCTTCCTTGAGTGCATCTTTTGCCATCAGTCCTCCTAGGAGGCTGGTCCAGGTACGAAGATGGCACCTAGTCAACTCTGGAAGATGTAAGCAGGGAAGGCTGGGCCACTGGCTCCAGTCTCTGGTGGACAGAGAAAAGGCATAGACTCTGTGGGTTTAATCTCACTCATCATCCCCCTCCTCTATTATCAGCCCCTCAAGGGCCATGTAGGGGGCAAAAAGCTACCAGAAGGGTTGTGACCTCGGGCAGAATGGAAGTGAGGGGAGAGCCCAAGGGGCAGCACAGCCAGGCTGAGCCAGGCCTTGAGAGTTCCTAGATGCTCCCACTGGGTCTGGGGTAGGGGGGTTGTTGGCTGAAGTGCACTGATACGACCTAACCACGACTTAAACTAGCAAGGCCGGAGGGGACAGCACTGCAGGCGGCGGAGGGGGCAGCCTTGCTTTTGCCCTTGAAAGTTAGTGCTGCGCAGGACTGTCCTCCCAGTCGGACGGGGGCCAACTTCCTCGAGCTCAGCTGTGCCCACCTGCCAAAGATCATCACAGAGAATGTTGACTGTTCACATCCCCAAGGAGAAGGAGGAGAAGGGGAGTTATCAGACCCTCGCCTGAGTATCCGGCCACCCCCCTGGCCCTTGGTGTAGTTTGGCCCCCACTGCACATGGCCTGGGGGAAGGGCTAGAGCATAGGCTGAGGAAGACTGAGGGAGCGGGGCTCTGTATGTATGTGGCTATGGGGAAGCCATCATCCATGCTTGAGCAAAGACTTTCCAGTATAGCCTTGTGGGGGGAGCACCCACACTCCAGTAAGTAACCCCACACCGCTTGCTCTGTAAGTAAGCCCAGTAAACTCACTGGTTTCCCAGAGAACACTTTGGTGGAATTGTACCTCCCTTTGTCTTGGGACTGGGGCGGGGGCGGGGGGTACATCTCCCTACCAGAAGGAATTGTAGCAATAGCTACAACTTCATCATTAGAGAGGCTGTGGCGGACAAAGATTCTCAAGACGGGACAGCGCCTAAGCCTGCTCTGTCAGAGCTGCTAACCAGAGCCTGTGATTTCACAGGAAACAGGCCTTTCCTGAGCCAGTAACAATAGGACAGGCAGAGGCAGGAAGGGCCCCCTACAGGCCAGCACATGCTTAGCCCTTCACAGACCCTCACTCCATGGCCAAAGGCAGAAGAACCCAGCTCACATCCACCCTCAGGTCCTCACCCCATGCCTGGGG